ACCTAGAAGCAAGCAAAGTTATAACTAGAAGCCAACATGGGTTTGTCAAAATCAGATCATGCCAAACAAATCTTATTTCATTCCTTGACAGTGATTATATTACTGGACCAGGGAATGCAGTGGACATAGTATACTTGGATTTCAGTAAGGCATTTGACAAAGTAGATCACAGCCTACTTCTTGGTAAGCTAAAAAAAAAAGTGGGATAGACAGCATCACCACCAAATGGATTTGTAACTGGCTGACAAACCACACTCAACATATAGTCCTTAATGGAACTACATCTACATGGAGGGAAGTAAGTGGTAGGGTACCCCAAGGTTCTGTTTTAGGCCCAGTACTCTTCAACTTCTTCATAAATGATTTAGATGATGGAATAGAAGGGGTACTCATCAAATTTGCAGACGACACTAACCAACATCCCAGAAGACAGGCTCAAGATCCAGATGGATCTCAACAAACTTGAATACTGAAGAATCCTATTATTCATGTTTTAGCCTCCAGACCCCTAATAATCTTTGTTGCTCTTTTTTGCACTCTTTCCAGAGTCTTTATATTTTTTATGGAATACTGCATCCAGTTTTGGTCAGCATATCATAAGCGTGATCTTACTATGGCTTTATAAAACAGTACTATGTCACATGATCTTGATTCTGGAGCTGGGCTTGTCTAGTCTAGTGCAAAGAAGGACTAGGGGGTGACATGATAGCAGTGTTCCAATAGTGGAGGCACTGCCACAAAGAAGAGGGAGTCAACCTATTTTTCAAAGCACCAGAAGGCAAGGCAAGAAACAATGAATGAAAACTGATCAAAGAGAGAAGCAACCTATAACTAAGGAGAAATTTCCTAACAGTGAGAACAGTTAACCAGTAGAATAGCTTGCTTCAGAAGTTGTGGGTGCTCCAATCACTGGAGGCTTTTTAAGAAGACATTGGACAGCCACTTGTCTGGAATGGTATAGGTAGGATCTCCTGCTTGAGCAGGGAGTTTCACCAGAAGACCTCCAAGGTCCCTTCCAACTCTGTTATTCTAAATACACTAGTTAGTTTATTATCCATTGGCATTCTTTAGCATGCCAGTTTGAGTTTGATAATCTTTTGGACGCCTTTCCTTGTTTTCTCCATTTCCATCTTCAGGGTCTTTACAGAAGTCATTATAATACTGCTTGTTTCTTCCAAAAGCTTTCTAAAAGTCTTTGCTAAGTTCCTTCTTGAGATCATTTGTCTTTCTTGGCTGTAGCCTCACTTCTTGGCATTTTCCATCATTTGTTCTGACCTCGTTTTTTTTTTTTTTCCCCTGGTCTTTGGCAGTTACTTTCACATTTATCCTTAACAACTCTAATTCCACAGTTCCCCTGATTCCCTATTTTAAAAAAGGTTAAGGACTTCAAAGTGATTTCTAATGTTCTTCTTGAAAATGGTGGGTCAGTACAATATCGGCGAAACTGGTTTGCTTTGTTCTTCCATTTTAACTTGACTTGGAACTTGCAGCTGATATATCCCAGCACCCCTAATCATGTCTTTGCTATTATAACTGGATTCTTCCATCTCTTTGTCCCAATAACATAGTCAATTTTATTTCTATGTACTCCATCTGGTGATGGCCATGTCCATAGGTACAGGTTTGGGTGCTTGAAAAGTGTTAGCAATGAAGAAATCATTAGATTGTTAAAAATGCACAATTTCCAACTTTGGCACTCTCAAATCAGGTACTCTAGCACTTACACATACATTCCCTACAAATTCAGTTATTTACAAGGATCAGTGAAGAGGTTTTTCTCTTCCTCCACATATTGGTGCTACATAGGGCTGCATGGATGGCTCTGGATTTTACCTCATATTGTAATGTGAGGATTGGTAAAACTTGTAAAACTATAGAACAAGGGTATTGTAAGCCCTATAGGGTAGACTACACTGAGAAACCAATGCTATATAATTAAAAAAAAAACACTTTTATTAGAACAACTGTAGTGACCAAATCTTGCAAATCTGAATACGCTTCCCTTATTTTGTCTCTGTGTGAATTAAGGAAGGGGTCTGTCTGAAGTGTTTTCTCAAATCAGTTTCTTAGAATAGGCTTTAAGCTGCACATGTCTGACCATTGACTTGGTAAAAGATGTCTCCATCAGGGCCATCTTCTACCGATATTAACTCAATCCAGATCCTATCCGTGCATCATTAACCATAAATATAATACAACCCAGCTCTAACATTTCTAATTCCCCAAGAACTATTATTAGAGATCAATCTGCAATAAACTGTTCTCCCATTTATTAACACAAGTAAGGATGATTTTTTTCCTTTTTTTTTTTTTTTTTAGTCCTAAAGGTTTCCCATCTTTGCTGTNACCTAGAAGCAAGCAAAGTTATAACTAGAAGCCAACATGGGTTTGTCAAAATCAGATCATGCCAAACAAATCTTATTTCATTCCTTGACAGTGATTATATTACTGGACCAGGGAATGCAGTGGACATAGTATACTTGGATTTCAGTAAGGCATTTGACAAAGTAGATCACAGCCTACTTCTTGGTAAGCTAAAAAAAAATGTGGGATGGACAGCATCACCACCAAATGGATTTGTAACTGGCTGACAAACCACACTCAACATATAGTCCTTAATGGAACTACATCTACATGGAGGGAAGTAAATGGTAGGGTACCCCAAGGTTCCGTTTTAGGCCCAGTACTCTTCAACTTCTTCATAAATGATTTAGATGATAGAAGGGGTACTCATCAAACTTGCAGACGACACTAACCAACATCCCAGAAGACAGGCTCAAGATCCAGATGGATCTCAACAAACTTGAATACTGAAGAATCCTATTATTCATGTTTTAGCCTCCAGACCCCTAATAATCTTTGTTGTTCTTTTTTGCACTCTTTCCAAAGTCTTTATATTTTTTATGGAATACTGCATCCAGTTTTGGTCAGCATATCATAAGCGTGATCTTACTATGGCTTTATAAAACAGTACTATGTCACATGATCTTGATTCTGGAACTGGGTTTGTTAGTCTAGTGCAAAGAAGGACTAGGGGGTGACATGATAGCAGTGTTCCAATAGTGGAGGCACTGCCACAAAGAAGAGGGAGTCAACCTATTTTCCAAAGCACCAGAAGGCAAGGCAAGAAATAATGAATGAAAACTGATCAAAGAGAGAAGCAACCTATAACTAAGGAGAAATTTCCTAACAGTGAGAACAGTTAACCAGTAGAATAGTTCAGAAGTTGTGGGTGCTCCAATTACTGGAGGTTTTTTAAGAAGACATTGGACAGCTACTTGTCTGGAATGGTATAGGATCTCCTGCTTGAGCAGGGAGTTTCACCAGAAGACCTCCAAGGTCCCTTCCAACTCTGTTATTCTAAATACACTAGTTAGTTTATTATCCATTGGCATTCTTTAGCATGCCAGTTTGAGTTTGATAATCTTTTGGACGTCTTTCCTTGTTTTCTCCATTTCCATCTTCAGGGTCTTTACAGAAGTCATTATAATACTGCTTGTTGCTTCCAAAAGCTTTCTAAAAGTCTTTGCTAAGTTCCTTCTTGAGATCATTTGTCTTTCTTGGCTGTAGCCTCACTTCTTGGCATTTTCCATCATTTGTTCTGACCTCGTTTTTTTTTTTTTTTTTTCCTGGTCTTTGGCAGTTACTTTCACATTTATCCTTAACAACTCTAATTCCACAGTTCCCCTGATTCCTTATTTAAAAAAAAGGTTAAGGACTTCAAAGTGATTTCTAATGTTCTTCTTGAAAACGGTGGGTCAGTACAATATCGGTGAAACTGGTTTGCTTTGTTCTTCCACTTTAACTTGACTTGGAACTTGCAACTGATATATCCCAGCACCCCTAATCATGTCTTTGCTATTATAACTGGATTCTTCCATCTCTTTGTCCCAATAATATAGTCAATTTTATTTCTATGTACTCCATCTGGTGATGTCCATGTCCATAGGTACAGGTTTGGGTGCTTGAAAAGTGTTAGCAATGAAAAAATCATTAGATTGTTAAAAATGCACAATTTCCAACTTTGGCACTCTCAAATCAGGTACTCTAGCACTTACACATACATTCCCTACAAATTCAGTTCTTTACAAGGATCAGTGAAGAGGTTTTTCTCTTCCTCCACATATTGGTGCTACATAGGACTGCATAGATGGCTCTGGATTTTACCTCATATTGTAATGTGAGGATTGGTAAAACTTGTAAAACTATAGAACAAGGGTATTGTAAGCCCTATAGGGTAGACTACACTGAGAAACCAATGCTATATAATTTAAAAAAACACTTTTATTAGAACAACTGTAGTGACCAAATCTTGCAAATCTGAATACGCTTCCCTTATTTTGTCTCTGTGTAAATTAAGCAAGGGATCTGTCTGAAGTGTTTTCTCAAATCAGTTTCTTAGAATAGGCTTTAAGCTGCACATGTCTGACCATTGACTTGGTAAAAGATGTCTCCATCAGGGCCATCTTCTACCGATATTAACTCAATCCAGATCCTATCCATGCATCATTAACCATAAATATAATACAATCCAGCTCTAACATTTCTAATTCCCCAAGAACTATTATTAGAGATCAATCTGCAATAAACGGTTCTCCCATTTGTTAACACAAGTAAGGATGATTTTTTTTCCACTTTTTTTTTTTTAGTCCTAAAGGTTTCCCATCTTTGCTGTAAGATGTATTCCCAAGATAATTTAAGGACATAATTTCAGGGAGAAAAAAACCACTTTTATATCATTTAACCATTCTACTTGGATGAACAATAGAACAAAATGAGTAATTAAGTTACTTACTAATCAATATTAATTGCACTTGTAATCACTTCTTGAATCACACTTGAAAAAATGAGTTAAATAACTTTATTATTGTAAAAAAAAATGGCAGCCCAAAGGGAAGTAAAGGAGTTTAAGGGGTGGGGTGATTGGATAAGAAATCTCTGCTGTCCTCTTAAACACATTAAAAATCCATTAATAAGTGAAACACAGCATCTCTCTCTCTAGTCTCTAGGGAATCAGTTCATAATCCATAGTGAGAGGCCTAGATAGGACCAAGCTGCTGGAAATCATCATGAGAGTATCAGGTAAGGCAGGATCCCCCATTTTCAGTACATGTCAAGTGTAGCAAGGAGTAGTAGGACCTTCTGAAACCATAGCCTGGTGCTAGATGCCAAGCAGTTGATACAAGGAAGTTGTAGTCAAGTGCTAGGAACAATATTAGCCACCAACAAAAAACCTGCTCTGAGAATCCAAAATGGACTGTCTCTCTAGCATATTACTCCGATTCCAGCTAGATGACCTTGATGCCCCCATACCCTAAACAGCTTGGCGATGCTTGTTTTCTTGGGATTCTGTGGCAGGCTGGGTACATTCCTGTCCTTCTGCTTTGGGTCATCCTTCTTCAATGTTCTTCCTATACCCGCTCAAATACATAAACTGAGCTCTTTGCGCACAGTGCACTTCCGGCACTGAACTACACAGCACCAATGAAATCGGCAAAGGCAGTTCTCTTCCAGGAGCAGTGTTTCCTCACGATGACCCCGTCCACAGCAGAGCAGGTCACAGCCACTCATGTCCATGGCAGTGCTATTGCACACTCGCCCACGTGTGCCCAACGAGCCTGTCTTGCGGTTAGCAATGCAGAAGTCAGGTGAGTCAGCAGAATAGATGAGGTCCTGCCGGTCAGGGGGTTTCATGTTCCAACCCACAGGGATGAGTGTTTTGCCATCGTTGCCACCCATCACTTTAAAAGCCCCATTAAAACGTTCAAGCAGGCGGTCACCCACTTCCCGGAAAGGAGGCATCTTCTTCCAACAGGTGCGCAAGGCACAGGAACCTGAAAGGCCATGACACTTGCACTCTGTCCGCATGTGGTTCTTCACTGCCTGGAAAGGGGAGGGGGAGGAGAGCCACAATAAGTAGGAAGAAAATGGCAATTGCAAGATTAGTAAGATCAGAGTTAAGTCTCCTAGCTGATTATTTTAAATAAGAAGTGAGAACAGGCAGAGAGACAGAAAGTTTCTTCTAAGGTTAGATGGGTGCATTCTTTTCCTAAAACAGATATTGTATCTCTACCTATTGCCAAAACAACAGCTTTAAAATATGTGGCAGCTAGTGCTCTAAATGTGAACATCCCACAGACAACTTAGCAGGTCAACTTCAATACCCAAAGCAATTTTATATGGGTTCTAGAAAATTTTAGTTGCGCTTTGAATTTGTTTAATGTTCAGTTTTATTTGCAAAAAATACAGTACATTAGAGCAGTTGCTATTTCATATAAGCCTGACTGTGTCGCTATCTAAGCTGTGTTTTATAAAGGCTGTTTCTTGAGATCTTACAAGAAACACAATTGTTTTCCTGGCTTCTGAGCTGACAAGCTTCATATCCGTAAGCTCAATATTGGAAGTATTATATCAGTGATGCCAGTCAGCTCAACTGCGAAAATCAGAAAAAGTCCACAGAGTACTTTTTCAAGAATATAATGGTCCCTGAAAATAATAAACTGGCATTTCCTGGCTTACATTTTCTAAAAAAAAGAAAAGAAAAATGAGAGTTAAGATAAGTTATAGCATCATGCTTCTGAAATCTAGATAATAATAAAAGAAATTGTATTTTAGAGGAATCAGTCATCATCTGATGCAGACTAATTTTGGACTGAATACACTATCCAAACAGGTCTTAAATATGGGAGCAGTTATTTTAACAGTCCAATATTCCTATCATCACATCAGAGTCTGTTGTGATAAGGTTTTGCCAAAATCCATCTGGAGATCTTGTTCAGGATGGGATTTGATCCAAATTCTTAAATCACACTTTTGAGCTTTAGCTATTATGTTCCAGAAGCTTCCCGTAATGCTTTATATTTGTTCCTGTACTTTCTCCTCCCTCTGCATTCACTTACTCACTTGCAATATTTATCCATTTTTGAAACACAAGTGATGGTTCTGTAGCAAACAATAGAGTTTTCTTATTCTGTCAAGGAATATGTTTTCATTGGTGATCTAAGGCTGCTCTCATTTATAAAACGGTATTTAAAAACGAAATACACACAAATATGCATAACATTAGCTACTAAATTATGTAGAGCAGGGCTTTTCAACCTTTTCACCCATTGTACTACTTTTAGGATATGGCAACATCCAAGTACCACCAGTCGCCTAACAAGGTGTCAAAAACTCGATGACCCCCCCCCAAAAGGAAAAAAGTGATGAAGTACAGGTAGTCCTCGACTTAAAACAGTTCGCTTAGTGACTGTTCGAAGTTACAATGGCACTGAAAAAAGTGCCCCCCAAGCCACAGCTGAGCAAGAAACCTGCCTGCCCGCCCGGCTGCGCTCTTCCTCCTGTCCAAGGTTTTCATTGTTGTGAGCATTTCTGTTGAGGATTGGCAGCGGAGATGGGGTGGGGGGTGTTTGGTTTTTATCCACCCCCCATCTGCTGGGTGGTTGCAGCAGGTTTTGGTCACTTCACATGACCCTGGGATACTGCGACCGTCATAAATATGAATCAGTTGCCAAGCATCTGAATGTAAATCACAAGACCCTGGAGAGGCTGCAACATTCCAGCTGATCGGTGTTTCTTCTGGGCTCAGCAGAAGCGCCAGGATCAGCGCCGAGCTCCAGCTGGAGCCTGGCGCTGATCCTGGCGCTTCCACTGAGCCCTGACAGCCCTGCAGCTCCAGCCATCTCTCACTCAGGCTTGTGCAGTGCTGCCACCGGTTCAGCTCATTCCCCTCCCCCGCTACCACTTTTCTAGGATGGTCGCATACCACCTGCCAGGTGCCAATGTACCACAGGTGGTACCCGTACCACTGGTTGAAAAGCCCTAATGTAGAAGATCAGAAACCCAACAGTGTAAAGGAACATTAGGTTAAGAGGTCTAGAACAGACATGTCAAACACAAGGCCCGGGGGCCGGATGCGGCCCGCGAAGTGGTTTCATGTGGCCCACGAAGCCATCCTGGAAACAATGAGGGAACAGCCCCTGCTGCCTTGGCCCTAGCCCAGGCCGGCCGGGACCCAATGTACAATTTTGCGGTGGCCATCTATGCTGAAACGCATTCAGTCTTAGCTCCACAAGGCCGTCTAGAAACAGCGAGGAACCAGACCCTGCCACATCGGCCCCGTCCCCTGGGTGCATGCTGGGGAGGTGTCACCCTTTGTGAGGAATGAAGAAATGCACCATGGCGCCCCGGTCCCACCCCCTTCTGCCAGAGACCCTCAGATCTGTCCCACTCCTGCCCAGGCCCCCACAGGCACTCTTGATGCAAACGATGTAGAGCTGGCCACGCCCACCCAGTAGGCCACACCCACTCCATCCACACCCACCCAGTAGGCCACACCCACCCTGGCCACCCCCCCCAAGGGCAACCACAATGCTGATGCGGCCCTCAATGAAATTGAGTTTGACACCCCTAGTCTAGAACATATAAAATTGCCTACATATAAGACAAGATGGAACAGAAGAGAGAAGGACCTCTAAAAAGGATAGGATCAGACAAATCAGTACATCTTGGTTTATGCACAGAGAAGGAGGCAGAGCTGCCCATCAGCAGAGGTTTCCACATAAAACAGGATGAAGATGCAATACGGCCCTTACCAGTCTCCCTGCTTCATTGTTGTGCAGGTCAATAAGAGTTCGAATGTCACTTTTGCCACGCTTGCGCTTAGCATCCATGAACTGCCGGGATTTCTCATAGCCAAAGTCAACATCATCCCCACAGCCACCCCATTCCCAAGCAGAGCTCTCGGATCCCATGACGGCAGGTGGCAGAGGAGGTGCCCTGCTCCGAATTGCCTCGCAGCCACACTGCAGCAGATCACCCATGCTGCAGGCCTGGGTGACAGCATGGCTAACGCCAGCTGCTGTGATGGCATAGACAAAGGCTGTCTCCCGGATATCTGTTTTGTAAATCGAGAAAGGGGAAAAAGAGATGGAAAACACCATTAGGCAAAGTCGTCTTTTAAAATAACCTTAAGGTCCAAGCAAAGCAAGAGGTACTGGCAGGCCATGTCATGATAGGCAACAATTCAACCCCTGGAGGTTTCTGATAACAGTATTATCTGTAGTTGCTTTATTCGTTAGCAACACAACGGCAACGGGGGTGGGATTCCAAGATGCAATAGCCCCCTTCCCGTCTCAGCAATCTGGATTTTTATTTACGAGGGGCGCCAGTCGCCCCTCCGCCGCGGGACATGAGTTCCAGGCATCCCTCGCCATGCTGGGACCTGCCACAGCCACGGGGGGAGGGGGATTTCTCCTTTGCTCTGCTCTATTCCAGCATGAGGCGCCGCACCGCCAAGGGCTCCGTCTCCTCTCTCCCCCTACCCCGCCGCCGCCTCACCACCTCTATTTCCCTATTTCCCAGTAAGGGGCTGCTTGCACCAGGGCAGGAATAGGCAACCTCGGCTCTTTTATGACTCATGGACTTCAACTCCCAGAATTCCTGAGTCAGCTATGCTGACTCAGGAATTCTGGGAGTTGAAGTCCATGAGTCATAAAAGAGCCGAGGTTGCCTACCCCTGCACCAGGGGCTGCAAGTAGCGGGGAATTTTTTTTTTCCCTGTGTGGCGGTGCAGCGGCGCCTCTTTCCTATGGAGCTCCTCGTCCACATCTCTGCAGCTGTCCAATGGGTCCGCGTCCCTTCCGTCCCGCCAGAACGGGCGCCATTTTCTCCTCGGGTATTGCCACTGCCTTCCTCGTCCGTAGCTTCAAGCACCCGTCCCGAGCGCCTGGAAGCGCCCGTACCCAGCGCCGTGGCTTTTCTGTCTCTCGTTCCTGCCTTTTCCTGGGCTCGGCCCCGCGGTTAATTAGTGAACTGACGAACCAAAGTGAGCATTTGCCACTCTACCTGCACCTGTTCGCCACAGCGGCGTTTGCAGGGCCGATGTTATATTCTGCCCTATTCTGGTTGCTGCTAACTTTATCCCGTTAGGGAACACACACCTTCGGCTCAACGCTGCGTTAGGGGAGATGTTTCCTATCACCCTGGCTTCCTCCAGGGTTAGCATCTTTGGTTTTACGCGTGTTAAAATGCCTCGGATCAAGGAGCAGTTGCCGGCAGAAGGACAAAGGAAGGGGAGGCTTTCTTTGGCCTTAGAGCAGTGTTTCTCAACCTTGACAATTTTAAGGCATGTGGACTTCAACTCCCAGAATTCCACAGCCAGCAATGCTGGCTGTGGAATTCTGGGAGTTGAAGTCCACATGCCTTAAAATTGTCAAGGTTGAGAAAGAGAAACACTGCCTTAGAGTGAGGGGAGGGAGAGGCTATTCACTGTGAAGGTGGTGGAGAGGCTCCCTGGCCATATTTATGGCCCAGCTCTGCTCTCTCAGTTGCTGGGAAGTCTGAGGAAGCTCTACGGACATGTAGGAGCAGAGTCTTTGAGAAGGGGGAAGGGCAGTAAATCTCTCCCAGACATGGATACATTCTTGGGCTTTATTAAAAGCTGCTGTGCTGTCTAGGAGCATCCATAATTGCTTCATTACAAGGACAGGGAGACATGTCACAGCAGTAAACCTTCAGCCCGTAGCAATAATCTGCTGCCTCCCTCCCCAAAGCCCCGGCAGTGCCTGTACCTCTCATGCTCTCACATTCACTCTGCGAAAGAACAAAGCGCAACCCTTAGGAGTGTGTATTTGTTGTCTCCACTCAAGAGAAAAGATGGTTATAAGCAAGGCATGGTCAAGCCAGGGTTCTTGGTGTTCCTTGGTCATCATCAGTAGCTTATCCTATTCTTGGTCTTCACCTAACAACAAAGGTTTATCCTGTGCTAAATTTCCCCACGTCACTATCAAGGGACTCTACTTAGATACTCAGATCTACAGTCCCAGCTGCATTATTTCATTAGTTTCTTTCTTTCCCTCCATAGATTTCAAAGTTCTGTACATGGATCTCTGCTTTAACACACACACACATAAAAACCTCATCTCCAGTTCCCTGAGAGGTAAATAAGAAAAGGAGGCTTGCCCAAGAACACCCTAATAATTTAATGTGTGAACATTAATGATTTAATGTGTGGAACAAGGAGTTCCAATTCTAATCCGAGGATAACAATCTATTGGCCTTCAGGTTTTGATACTACAACTTTCATATATCCTAGTAACATATATCCTAATAATTCAAGGTTAGGAAAACTGCTCTGAACTTGTCAAAGGCACTCCTGATTTCCCCCTAAATGAGCTGTTACATTCAACCACTGTGCTAAGAAGATTTGAGCTGGACAACGCAAATATTTTTTTGCAGGAAGCAAAACGCAATGCAGAAGCCAATTCTATTATTAAAACAATACAGTGGTAACTTGAGTTTCAAAAGTCTTTATAAAATAATTATATAAACATTAAGTGATTTATATAATTCGCTTTTTATCTGCATATTAATAAACTGCATGCATGCTTGCTTTGTTTGTGTATGCTTCATACATACACATGTAACAGGCATCATCTTAAAAGAGCCATTCCTTTATGTGAGCAAAGGGACACAATAATTGCGGGATTTTTAAAATTTAAAAACGTCTTTAAAAAGAGTTGTAATTAATGTTGTCAATTAATCACACTGGACAAGGCTTAGAGAATTATTTTCAAGTTAGGGAAATAAAACATCTAATACTCTGAATACACTAAAACAGATGAAAAAGATTGTGTGATATTATGTGCTGGGTATATCTTATATGGATACCTATAAGATCTAGAAGTGTTATCCTACATTGCTTATCAGTAGTGTCTAGCCCTCTTTGACCCTTAGCTGTGTTTTGTTTGGTTGCTTCTATTTTTATAGGTCTCAAGTGCCTCACCAGCTTTTTCTAACTATCCAGTTGTTCAGCCTGCACCTGAATAAGGGAGACAGATTATTTTTCCCGTCAGTTAATAACAGAAAAGAATCAGTTTCTAAAAAGGAAGAAGATAAAGCTTCCACCCACACTAGAGACCATGTACAAGGTTAATGGCTTCTCTCATCTGGAAAAGAATCAATGGCAGAGGAAGAAAAATTAAAGCTTCTGCCCTTCCTAACAGTGTAGTAAATGTTTGTGTGTTTATTGGAAAGGGACACACACATATCAAAATGCAACCTATAAACTTAACATACCAAACAGCCTTCAGACTGCCTAAGCCTACATGCTACTTCTCAACTAGGAGTAATGCTTTCTAGATTAATTTCAATGTTTTCTGGGTTCACATTTAAACTAGGCCTACATTTTTAGCCTCAGTTTAAGTCTTCTCTATGAAGCCTGTAGCCACAGTCCCTGTACCTGAAGGCCTAAGTGTTTTAATTGAATGATTTAAATAATACAAGAAAAATTGTCATTCTGGATGCAGGTTAGTATGGAGGCCCAAGCATTTTGTATTTCTGCTGATTCTCAAATCCAATACTTAAGATAAAATGGATTCATAGATAGGTCAATTAGAATTGCTACATTGCCTCCTTGTTTATTAGTGGTATTTGGAGAGGAGACCAACAGGGAATTTCAGGGCTGTAGACTAGATTGGGAAACTGAAAAATAAAATAACCTGGAATAAGGCAATGGCAGGAAAACTAGATATTCTACTATAAACACAAAAAGAGTTTTTTCACCTTTACCTATATGTCTTAATTAAATGAGCACTTGTTCATTGGCTCCATTTCAGGCAAATAACCTTTTTTTTAATCATCTAGGGGTATGGTAGAGTGTGGGATGATATTATGCTCTTAATTTTCAAATGGTTTTTTTTTATGCGCCAAAACCAGGCATAATTTCACATAGACACAAAGAAGCTTCATGCCTAATTAAGATCCCCGATGCAAGTGAAAATACATAAAAGAACAGAAGTGTTAAGCAATGGAAGGGCCGCCGTTGGGCATGGCTGAAGATGTTTTTATATGGCATGGACTGGAGATACAAGGAACAGGTGGATCTGCAAGTGAAGGCCCAGCAGGACGCAAAGCGAGATCTGCTGAGCAGACTGGCTGGGGGATATTATTGCAACTTTGGGGTTACAAATTAGACATCGGAGAGGATAGCTTGACAAAAGTGCCCAGGAAAGAATATTTTTTTCTTATTTCTGTTCTCCCCCCTGAGCTAAAAGTACTGAAAACAGCTGTGTGAGTCAAGGAGTGAAATAGATTAAAAAAAACTGCTTTAAAAAAGGCTCCTTTTGGAACTGTAAATGCAGTTTGTTAAGCTAAGGCCACTGTACTGGAAGAAGTACACAAAATAATAAACATCACTATAATTTAGAGAAAAACAGTGCTTGTTATGACTGGAAAGTTCCTGTTTCCCACCCTCCAACAGGACCACTAAATCAATCCCAAACCCTAGAGCTATCTGAATAGCCCACCTCAAAGCATGCAGCAAGGATTCAATGAACAAGTGTGTTCATCCCACCTACTGCCCAATTTAATTTCAAAACAAGCAGAGAAGAGTTGCAAATTTATTCTGTTCCCCTTGCCCCTCACTTCCGAATGAATGAATCACCTCCATATACTGTAAAAGCTTCTGTCCCACTGGCAATATTGGTCACCTCTGAAATATAGGCTATATCGTCTCTTTTCTTCTCTCTTTAATTGTGAGGACTATTTGGCTGAATTTCTTTTATGAACAAAATAAATGCTACCCCCCCTCCTTTTACTCTGGAAGAATCCCAAAGGGCAGTAATCTACCCAAGCGAGAAAGCCTGCCCCACTCACCCTGTTGTAGGATCTTCCCAAAATATTTGCTGTGGCTGGTGCAGTTCCAACGACGAAAACGGAATTGGTACTGGCACTCACGCACACCCAGTCTGGCTCCTTTGGCGACTTCTTGTACAATCTCAGGTTCCGTCTGGCACAACTCAGCCTGTTTCCCTGCCAGCCGCTTGGTCTTCCGACAGATGCTGTTGGGATCCATGACCAATGGGCTGCCCACTGCCCTGGAAAGATTGGAGAAAAGACACGGAAACACTCTAGTTGCATCAAAATTAGTAGGCTTAAACCTTTTTAATCCATAACTCTTTAGGGCTCTCGTAGAAATTAATTACGAAATTAATCATTGAACCTATGCCGGGATATTCCCAAAGGTGATAAAATTTCCTGATGTATGTCCCAGGACTTTTTAGTTTAATATTCTCTCTGACCAGAGCCAGTTCTAGGTATTTTAGCACCCTAGGGCAAAGTCATATTCTGCCCTCCCCAATTGGCTCTTCTTCCAATTTTTTTAGGAAATTCAAAAATGCACACACTAGTTTTTTTTTTCTTTGAGATTTTGAGCATTATATATACTTATGAATTTTAGGGACATTTTTTTTCTTTTTTCAGAATTTTCACCTCATTTACAATGAAATATTGTAATATTTTTTTTTACAAATTACCCGTGGGACCATCTTTTTCCAAGACTTTCTACCCGTCCAATCTCATCCAACAGATTGGACATGCTGCAAATCCCATCAGCCAAAGAAATCACTGGTGGGAATTAGAAGACAGACTTTTTCTGTTGTAGCCCCTGCCTTATGGAGTAGCCTCCCCTCAGAGATCAGAATGGCCCGACTCTGTTGGCTTTTCACAAAGCTTTAAAAACTTGGCTATATACCTGCCCTGGGGTTGGAATGTGTTAAGGGCCCTGTTACTTGGCTTTACAATTAGATAATTAATCATCACAACTGAGGTTTGTACTTATGTGTTTTGTGGATGTTTTCACTGTTTTAATGTTTTTAAAATTGTTTTAATTGTACTATAATTCTATAGCCACCCAGAGTCACTTGATTGAGTAAGGTGGCTATAGAAATTGAAGAAATGAAATGAAACAAAATAAAACTTAACCTTTGAGCAGGTGCACTGGCTCATAAAGTGAGCTGTTATTGCTTTTCACTTTTTTATTGTTTTTCTTTTACAAGTCTTGGCAATTTTGGTACACCTCCTAAAATTTGGCACCCTAAGCTGGTGCCTTCTGAGCCTTAGCCCAGAGCCAGATCTGTCATCAGCCTTTTCCAGGCTGCTACCGCCTGCATCTGACGCCGGAGGATGCTTACGTGGCCCTCCGGTGGCCTGTTTCCAGGCAGCAGCAGCCTGGAAAAGGCCTCCAGAACCCGGATCGGGCTGCAGGGGGCACAGAAGCACTTGCTGGCCTCAGATCCAGGTGGCAGTGGCCTGGAAAAGGCCTCCGGACCCCGGATTGGGCCGCGAGAGGGCTGCAGAAGTGTCCCCAGCCTCAGATCAGGGCAGCAGCAGGAACCGTGGCAGAGAGGAGTTGGATCTTTTCCAGGTGAGTCCGGCATGGCAGGAAGGGAGGGGGAAGCATGAGGTATCTTAGTGGGTCAGGGAGGCCTTAGGGGCCTGTTCCAGCACTAGGCCCTCTATGGCCTTCCCCACCCTGAGATACCTCAGGTTCACTTAACGAGCCACATGTGTTTTAACGAGCAAGGGGCTGATCTCCTTCGAGGTACGAGATTCACTCTACGAGTTTTCGAGTTACGAGTGGAATGGGCAGGCTCCACACTCGTAACTCGAGGATTACCTGTAAGTGTAAGAATAAGATCACATCACTTCTCATTGCCCACACTTGCTAGAGTTGACATTATTGAAACCCTGTGACATCTAAAGGACCACAGTTTTTCCATCCTGCATTAACCAACCCTCCTCCCCCAAGTTAGGGTTCAGGTGGGCCTATTTCCTACTCAGCCAGCCAAATAGTATATAGTATAATATCAATTGCCCAATATATACTAGCTACTACTGTTGCTGCAGCTATTGTTATAATGTAAGAGAGCATTAACCTAACCCCTTGCTATCTGAAGTATATAATCCAATTTCATTATTATTTTCCATGTAGACTGGTAGTAGGGCATAAGCACTTCTTTAAATTCAATATATTCTAGGGTTATTTTAATTCTATTGTATGACCAGAGCAGGAAAACAAGTTACTTTTTGAAAGAATGTCTAACCTTGAAAAAATGATAAAGGTTTATAAACAAACTCTAGTGTTGTGCCAGCTTTTCTCCCTAGCTTCTAGATTACTCTCAGTACAGGAGTTTTCCTTAACTATTTTCTTTCAAAAAAGCTCACAAAAACCGTTGAAGGCTATAGCATCTCACATAAAGATCCAGAGTGAAAATTATAAAGCTATTTTATACTGCATAATGTGTACTCTTCCCTGCCCATGCCATAGAACACAAGATTGCATGCAAAATCCAGAGAAGCCCAAGTCCTAAAAAGAAATAAAATCCACCTTCCTCCCTCTTTTGCAAAAAGGAGGAGGGAAAAAAAAAACTTGAAAACATGCCAGGTGCATCTGTTAAATTTCAAATGCAAGGGTCTTTTTTAAACTAACACTTCCTATGCTCAATGAAAGAGAGAGGGAGACTAATAAACTCTGCATATTTTCTTATCTATGGCAAGCTTTTCATCCCCTTCAGTTCTGCTTCCGTTATATTTATTCTCTATCAGTGGCCCCAGAAACTGTCATTTTGTCATCCCAATAGCTATCAATATGCTTCATGTTTTGTAAACCAACATATTTTAATAATGATAGGATTCATTATCCAAATCCAAAAAAAATTGTTAAGATTTTGGCGTAGAATGTTGTATGAGCTGAGCCTATCTCTTTTATAATGTTTTTAAGAGCTAGCATGTTGTGCAAATCCAGCCAATTATAATTGATTCAATAAACCTACTTAGGCTGGCTGTTGCTATCTGTAGTGAGTGAACACAAACAGGGGTATGGATTGTGAATTGATGCAATCAATATCTGTGGATAAAAACATATTTTCAAGATAAACGGTTTATGCCTATTCTCCAGTGAAATAATGTGATATTCAGTACTATAGGTCAATATATTTTTTACAAAGGACATCTAGTTTTACAAAGGACTCTCACAAGATGGTAGCTTTTAAAATACCAATGGCCACCCTCCCCTTTACTAAAAGCTGGAGTAAAGAAGTCATGGTCAGTTTGGATGTTCTCACTTTGATCCCTATTACTTTGATTGACAGGATATAGATTAGCTCTTCCTGCTTGACTATGAAGCCTACAGTCTGGGAGTCCATCACTCCCCAGGAAGTTTTGAAAAAAAATCCAAATTAATCAAATTTGGATCACTAGAGAGTCAGAGCCAGGAAATTCTAGCAACTCAAAAGATTAAATCTCCCAATGCAGTTAACACAGAGAGGGAATGCAAGAGCTCTGAATTAGAAAATCTATGTGCATCCAGGGATATGTCTGCACCTGTGTGCTTCTCTCTGCCCAAACAAATATTTTCTACATAGGCTATCTGTGGGTCATCTTTTATGATCTAGGTATGAACTCCTCCTTGTCTGCTTCTGCCTGGTAATAGATGTATTTTAAGGCAATCCTTCATGAGTAGATTGTGGCACAAAACATGCCACACTTAAGAATACAAGACTCCTCTTCAACAGATCAAAGCTCCCTCTTATCTAATTTCCTGTTTCTTACCAGAGGCCACAGCAGAAGATACTCATAGGCATAGTAAGGGTTGTAAAGGGTATACAACTAAAACCAAACAAAGTAGGATTACGTTAATCAGTTCTATGTCACTTCAAACTTACTAGACGTGTCTCACTTCAAGTCTTATAAGGTTGTTATTGCCTGTAATACAGAAGTTGAATGTACTCTATTTTCTATTCAAAACCATTTAGATGGTTAATTATATGGGCTCTGGTAGTTTAAAACTGAAATATATACATTTCTACATAAAAATATAGAATATATTAGAAAATATATAGAAAAATGTTGACTACGTGTATAGGGTTTTTTTTAAAACTAAAAAACTGCAAGAAAGAATGTATAGTTCAGTAGTAGCACACCAGTTTTGCATGCAGAAGATCAACCAAGGTTGCGTGCATTTGCTGCATTGTAAGGGTTTACTTAAAGGGTGGTGGATTTTTTTTAAAAAAAATTGAAGTCAGAAAAGATTGCTGTCAGAGATCTCAGAAAGGCACTGAATAAACCAATGGTCTACTTTGAAACTACATTATTTCCTATATACAGATTGAAAAAGGATTCAATTTAGTGTGTGTGATCATGCAAACAGTTATAGCATCATCTCATATTTCTATTGCAACAACATAGTATTTATACACTTGTTTAATTGCTATTGCTTGTACATCATGAAACCCTGAATGCAAATGAATGAAGCATGGAAGTGCAAAAGGATCAAAGATAACAATGAGAATGATCTGATTAGCATATAGATATTAGATATCCAATACAGTCTTCCCTAACCTGGTTCCCTTAAAAAACGTTTGGGATGACATAGCAAGAATTCTCAATAATTCTCTCAGCATGACTGTCTCAGTGCATCTAAATAGGATCAACTTAGGGAAGCTGATTGAAGCTCTTGAAAGTTCAGCAGGAATATTCAGCATTAAGTTAATATTAACCTAACAATAATAATGTTAAATATTAACATTAAGTTAATATTAGAGTCGTGGCGGCGCAGTGGTTAGAATGCAGTATTGCAGGCTAATTCTGCCAACCACCAACAGTTCGATTCTCACCAATTCAAGGTTGACTCAGCCTTCCATCCTTCCAAGGTGGGTAAAATGAGGATCCAGAATGTTGGGGGCAATATGCTGACTCTATAAACCACTTAGAAAGGGCTGTAAAGCACTGTGAAGCTGTACATAAGTCTAAGTGCTATTGCTATATTAAATTATACTAAATATAACTCCTATGCTGATGACAGAATATGGAATATAATAGTACATAGCAACAGAGAAAGGTGGCCAAGTGGCATTAGGAAGATAAATATATGGTAGTCAGATTTCAAGAAGAATGCTGTTGTGTAGGTTCATCTGTGGACATGGAGGTGCTCTGCAGTCCCACCCTGGAAGTGCAGTGTCTAGCACAATGGGGACTCTGAATGTCCATTTTTGTAATAACTGTGGGGTGTTACTTTGTGATGCCAGTCTT